TGAACTGGAGTAGGCGGTCTAACAAAATCCTGTTCCCGACGTCCATTTAGAACAGCATATCTGCGCTCTATTCTTATTGACCACCGGTACAGCTTGCGCTCAGGACTGTTATGCACGCGCTGCACACATGCTGTGCTGTTAATACTCATGTGTATAACGATGCTCAGAGCAGGCTGTATCTGTGGTAAATATACGGCCCTCAGACAGAACAGGCAGGTTGTCGATGAGTGACACAGCAGAATAAGGATGGAGCAAAGGTGGATTCGCTGTCCTTGAAGGACGTTCAACTCGGTTTTGTTTATATTTTGCTTAGCCTATAATTTTAAATGAAAGATGTCATATTTATTTATTTTTCTCTGCTACACTTTTCCTACTGTGTTAACAGAAAAATGTCAAACGAATTTGCAGACCTCTAATCCAATGTTTCCTGGGATTTGCTAATTTCTAATACCATTTCATCTTCAATTTCAACTCCACAACCAGTCCACTTACAACTCTGCTCCATGGAAAGCTCAAGTCTCTGTCCTGGTCTTCAGCAGCTGCAGCAGAAGCTGAAGCAGGCCTTTTGCACAGCACCGCTCCTAGTCCACCCTGACCCAGATAAACCCTTTACTGAAGAAGTGGATGCGAGATAATTTCTGGTGGCCTAACATCGCAAGGGACATCAGAAGGTCTGTGAGAGGATGTCAGGATTGTGCCATCTTGAAGACTCCTCGCAATTTATGAGGAGTTGGCAATGGCAGAAGGTGTGGAGGTAGCAACCAATCTCTTGTACCTTCCGTTCCATCTGCCCACTCAACTGTGGGTGATAGCCAGAGGATAAATTCACAGTGACATTTAGGAGCTTGACAATCTCCATCCTCTGCCCAAGCCAAACCATCCCTGGTCACATCTCGACATAGACTTAACTGACCTTCCCAGCTCCAATGGTAATACGTGCATACTGATCGTTGTGGACCACTTTTTCAAACCTTGCCCTATGATCCCTCTAAAGTGTCTTCCCACAGCTATTGAGATGGAATTATTATTGGAATATTAGTGGAATTATTATTCAACCACGTCTGCAATCACTGCAGTCCACAATTCATTTTCTGAGTTTGGAAGGGTTTCTTCAAGCTCCTAAATGTCACTGTGAATTTATCCTCTGGCTATCACCCACAGTTGAGTGGGCAGATGGAACGGAAGGTACAAGAGATCGGTTGCTACCTCCACACCTTCTGTCATTGCCAAAAGAACACCTGT